AAAAACAAGAGCTATGTGGCCAACATACACTGCTGCTAGACAGCAACAGAAAGCTGCTAGACAGCAACAGTTTGTCACCAATCACGCTGCTAGACAGCAACATAAAACAAGAGCTATGTGGCCAACATAGACTGCTGCTAGACAGCAACAGGAAGCTGCTAGACAGCAACAGTTTTTCACCAATCACGCTGCTAGACAGCAACAGAAAGCAAGAGCTATGTGGCCAACATACACAGATTTACATGAAAAGTAGCTGTTGCTAAGCTACTGGACAGCAGCAAAACTAGGGCGTACATAGAAAATATACACAAAAAAATCATGTTCAGGACCACTGCTGCTAGACAGGTTTCCTCTCATCACCCATCACTCACAACTGGGCTTACTACACCAAAAAATTGTCCATGGATGTTTGATTCGCTTCCTTGTGCATTTCGCTGGAGCCGTTTTTCCTTCTTGCGCAGGTGATGCGATGCCCCCGCACGTGGAGGACTGGGAGGCTGGCCGGTCCTCCTCTCACAAGACATGGGTTCATTCCCATGCCTAACCCCCAAAAATACGCAAAGCTTTTGCCTCTCCAATTGAGAAGCTAGGCTTATTGCAAACCCCTGCTCGGATCACATGCCACTAGACACGCATGCGACCTTCACAAAATATGAAACGAAATCCTGCTTACCAAAGATGTTTTTCTCATTCATCGCCAGGGCCTCTTCATCCGAAAACAATCCGATGACAGACAGGTCTTTCCTCAGAAACCAATGGATTGTCTATCTTCAACAAATGCCATCATACCAAATTGGAATGAAAAAGGACTCTTGAAGACATGCCATGTGACATTCATGGTCAGTTATGGTTTAGCAAAAAATAATAGGCAAGGTTTGTCAAAGAAATGCCGCATGGCATTGATGAACCATTTCAAGCTTTGAAAGGATTTTTTTGGTTCAAGGTTCTTTTTCTCGGTGGCAGTGACAGATAGCTCTGCAAATTCCTGCAGTGTGGCGATCTCCTTCCACTTGCTATCAATGGAGGCCACAGCAAACCGCACGACTTCTGCAAGATGTGTCCATTTTCGGTGAAACTCGGCGCTGATGAATATGCTTCTCTTGGACTGCACAGTTGTTGCGTACGAAAAAGCAACACCTTCACGTCCATGGGAGAGGACGTAAGACATGTTGCAAACGCAAAGGCCAAGCATGAAGGCACTCCACAGTGAAGTGTCCTGTGGGGAAGCCGGGTCAGTTTCCACAATGAAATCTGCGTGTTCTGGATCTCCAACCAAACATCCACGAAGCAAACCCTCAGTCATGTCGTCTAAGGTCTGGGGGTCTACCACAAAGACCTTTTTGGACATCGGGTCTGGCAGCTTCTTGGGATTCAAAAGATCTGCCTTCCTCTGCCGCGCAGCAGCATTGAGCTTATCCGTCTTGTCCTGAGCGTCTTTGAACGCTTGAGCTACCTCCTTGAATTCTCCATCCACCTCTGACTCCAGGAGGCAGTTGTCAAGATATGCAATCAGGCGGTTCTTGTGCTGCTTGTCGCACTGGAAGGATTGCTCGGCCAAGATGGAATCAGACAAAAGGTGGGAGCTGAGCATGCGGGCATTGCCCTGAATTTCATCCAATGTGCTTTCCGGTACATCCTCCATGGCTTCATCTATGCTTTGTTTCCTACGTCTCTTCCATGCAGCTTCAGTGTTGCCAGCTTCCCCGGCCTGACACAAAAGTTGGGCAAAAACTCGTCTGTTTTGAAACGGACAGGGTTTTCAATTATTTTTCAAGTTAGCAGTGTGCATGACAAACCACTGTTGTTTTCTGATTTCTGCCACTGTGAACTCATCGGAATCAATCAGCCTTCTAACTTAGACATATTGCTGGCGCTTGCCTTTCTTTCCTTCTGGCATCCTGCATCAATCCGCTCTGTGTCTCTGGCACGGGGAGGGTTGAAGTATTGCAGCCATACCTGTTGAGCCTGGCAACAGGATGAGCACTGATTGGTGTCATATTTCACTGTATGTGAGGAAACCATCAAAGATTGAAGGGTGAGAGCGTAAACAACATGCAGCCAGAATTTCCTGGCCTTCTGTGTCAGCTGCAAATCAGTGCACAAGGTCTGGTTCAATTGTAGAGCCGCTTCGTCCCACTCAGTCTCCAAGAGCATATGATCTCGTTGAGGTGTCACATGCCGCTGCACTTTCGAAAAAGATTGCTCAACACCAGAAGTTGTGAGGCCATTCCATGCTGCATAACCTCAGATGTTTTCTTCAAACACCAGATGAAATCTGCTAACCGTCCATTTTCACAGTCAAAGAAACATGAAAAATCAGACACAATCCTTATATGGCCCAAATAGCGGATCAAGACCTGCCGGATTGTAGATGTTGGATGCACTTTTCTGACAGCGGCTTGCTTTGTCTCTAGACGCTGCACCGTCGTAAGCCAGGCATCAACCCCTGAAGACCCTTTGCTGAACTCATGCAGAGCCATTGGCCGGATGTCAAAGTACTCATCTCTGAATTTCACCTTATCCACACTACAGACTTGCGAGAGGCGTTCAAGTCTTTTGCTCGTCTCAACTGTGTTGGATTTCTTGCTTTGCAGGTCAAAAACAGAGAAGCTGCAAATGATATCGTAATCAGGAAATTCACTTCTCAAAGTCTCGCAGGCCAAATTCACAAACATTTGCAATCTGTTCAAGCATGACTTTCTGTCTATGAGGACGTTCGGGCCGCCAAGGGTTTTCGGATTTCCATGCGAATCAATGAAGGCACGCTGCCGGCGGAGATACTGCAACATTTCTTTGACATAGCCAATCTCCCACACTCCTTCCTCACAAAACAAATAGTTCAGGCGGTTGACAAAGGCACTGATTTCCCAATGGATAGATGCCACATCATAAGCTTCAGTGTCGAAGACTCTGATGAGAGAGACGCATTCATCAGCTGCTTCTGCCATCAAGGACAGCATCAGGCACCGCTCTTCGTTGAGGAAATCTAAAAAACTGAGGGCATCATGAGCTTCCTCACCTCCTCTGCGCTGCACTGCAATCCAATTGGCAGTGGAAATCACACTGTCCAAAAACAAACAGCAGCGCCCAAGTGGTTTGGAGAAGGACGCAAATCTGTTTTTCTGACCCTTGAGGTTCTTGATCCGGGAGCCATCTACCGAAGATTCCTGCTTGGAGCAGAATTTGGCAAAGACATCCGAAAAGGTGTTGGAATGCTCTATCCTCTGGGTGATTGAAGAAGAAGACAAAATGCATTTGTCCATGATGCTGCTCAGCTCCTCATCTGCCAACCATGGACGCTTCAATACCCTGGCAGGTGTTGGTTTATTATGTTCCAGGGTCAACCATAGACAATCGCAAATCGATTTGAACTGAACTGACTTTAGGAGAGAAAAATTTGAGAAGGTATGTAAGTTAAGTTCGCAATGAAATTTGATCTCCCATGCCTCACACTGGCGTGCGCATTGTCCTTTGAGACGTGCAACACATTCTGGAATGCGCCTTTGCGGGCCAGTCGCCCAGCTGCAAACTCATTGGAAGCAGCGTCAGCACACAAGACTTCCGTATGCTCAATGATGTGAGCCTTCAAATTGTCATCCAGGACTCCCGGCCCAGGCCCACCACAACCTATTGCGCAGAAGCGCGTGATGACGGATTCAAGGGTCTCCACAATGTTCGTGGCATAGTGGCCCTCATGGACATCATCGAAACCCAGTAGTCCCTTGTGGTGCTCCAGTGTCTTCTCAGAACACGCAGACCATCTCACCTGGGTCACAGCATCGAAACAAATGTTGTGTGTGCACCCAATAATAAAGAAGTGCTTTGAATCCATAATGGTTTTGCCATAAAACTTCTAGAAACTTGAAAAGGGCATTCAACATTCGGCTTAGGCGCCAGGAGTTTGTTACCGCGAGCATCTTGGCTGAGAGCAACACTGCCAGCCTCCCACAAGAAGTCCCTCATCATTTCCCTGGCACCTTCTGCAAGGCACCACTGCATCTTCTGCAGCTTCCATCTCCGGCCGATGGATTTCAAAGGAAGAGACAAACTGGTGACACCACGGCGGTGATCAAGGACCTGTTTGAACTCATCCATCGTGGGAGTCAACTTCTTGTTGGTCTCGGTGTTGTCCATGCCCAGCATATTCAATGCCTCCTGGTGCTGCGCGCTCACATTGTGCCGCTTTAGGTTGCCTTTGTGAACATAGGTGCGCACTGTGAAATTTGCGAAATCTGATGTGAACCCAGCAGCACTGCAAATAACACAGCCCAGGCCCCACACACCGTCGGTGATCTTTGGTGCCAACCATGTGGTGTTGAGGTATTTGATCCGAGTATGTTTTTCCCACTCTTCTTGGTTGCGCAAGTACAAACACCGACTGCATGTGGACAAGTTTGCGCAGTCTTCCACATGAAGCACATCATCTTCTTTCAAATCTGAATCTGTAAACCACAGCTCACTTTCTGTTCCTGATCTAGTGAGAACAACTTTTGATCGTTCCTCTTCTAGATCTTTTGGTCCTTGCTCCTCAGCCACGTGCTTCACAAACCGCGGTTTGCCCAAGGTTTTTGGAGGCGTCTCTAGATCTTTTTGTTGGCATCGAAAACCAATCATGGCGGGCAAGAAAGGCGGTTAAGTGGTTGCTGAGTGAGAAATTGGATCCCAAATATAGTTTGTCTGAAGGTGGTTTTGCTTCTGTATTTCAACATCTTGTTTGTTATTTGTGTGCGGTTGGCGACTGGTCATTCATTCATGTCTCGAAAAGTTTTAAGGTGGTTTTGTTCCTGTATTTTCAAGATCTTTTTTGCTATTCATATGCGATTGGTCATTCATGTCTCGAAAACAAAGGGCTGTGCTTGAAAACCTAGGTTTTCCGGACACTAAAAACTGCTGTCCAGCAGTGTTGCACTGACACTAAAAACTGCTGTCCAGCAGTGTTGTGCTGCTGTACTCAGGACACTAAAAACTGCTGTCCAGCAGTGTTGCTCTGCTGTACAGCAGTGCCTGAATATAGTGTTTTCCATGAGACTGCTGCGCAGCAGTGTGGAATGTAGCTTTTTCATGAGACTGCTGCACAGCAGTTCAGAATGCATGTTTTCCATGAGACTGCTGCGCAGCAGTGTGGAATGTAGTTTTTTCCATTCAACATGCGTTTTTATCATGAGACTGCTGTTCGATGTGCATGTCGTTTTTCATGTCATGAGACTGTCATATCATAACTGAACCATTAGACAATAAGAAAACCACCCAGTGAACGTCAACAGTTTTGGGTTCCCAACTCAACATCTCCTGACCGGCAGAGGCAGTGAACAGCCCTGAAGGGAGCCACGCCTTTGCCAGCGGCCTCGCGAATGATGTTGTCGCAGAGCCTTGGCTGGCAAACGACAAGGCAGCGCAAAGCAAATCTGAAACGAACGCCTTACTCACTGACTCTCCATGGAGTTGGCAAACATCAATGCCAGGTTAATGCCATAGCCCAGTTGTAAGTGAGTCAGTGCTCACCAATCAAGGTTCTTAATCGCACACAGTCACTGCCCAGAGCCCCTTTTCACTGCTCAGTGCGCGAAGTCTCTTCCTCTCTTTTCGATTCTTTTTTCCTGGCGATGAGGTTTCACAATGACGTCAAGTGTTGCTGGACAGCAACCGACACAGGAAATCAGTCTGTTGTTGCTGGACAGCAACTCTAAGTCTAGTTAGTTGCTGCTGGACAGCAGCCCTGATTTGTTGCTGGACAGCAACTGTAGTTAGTTGCTGCTGGACAGCAGCCCTAATATGTTGCTGGACAGCAACTCTAGTTAGTTAGCAGCCTGGTCAACACACAAATTAAGTCGGCAGCGTGGCCTCCGCTCTTCCGCTTCATCTTCATCTGCCTTTCTTTTTTCTGTCTTCTCTTTGCTCTCCTCGTCCTTCTTTGGGTCATCATCTCTCGGCTGCTGGGCCTTTTTTTCCCTTTCAGCACGCCTGTCTGCAAGCCTTTGCATTTCTTCCTTCATCCTTCGCTCCAAGAAGGCCTTCTGCCTGTTTTTGTTGTCCTCCTCTTGCTTCTCCTTCTCTTCTCTGTCTCTTCGTCGTGCCTGTCCAGCAGATGAGTTGTCTCCTTCCTGCTCTCTTCCGCCTGGGTGTCGCCGTTGTAGGCAGAGGTCCACAATCACCCTGGAGAAGAGGACCAGGATCTCTAGCTTGCGGAGCATCCTCTCCCATTGGCGCACCGTGTATGAAGGAGGTCGAGCCATGGGCCTGGTTCTTCAATTGATGGGATGTGCGTCAATAGCAAAAGTTTGAAATGCTTTGCCCTCACTAAGTTGTTTCATTGTTGTCTGAGTGGGAAGATTCCATCAGGTTGTTCCTTCATGCTGGACTCGCTTTGTTGGGAAGATTTAGATATTTATGATGTGATGTTGCATCTCTTGCGGTCTTTGTGTCTTCTTTGATTTCCCTGTAGCTGGTGCGGGGGCTCTTCCCTTGAATCCAAACACTGCAACAACAAAGAGTGGTTATATATGTGTTGCAGTCTGTTTTTTGATTAGCCTACTAGTCTTTTGAGTAGCTACCATGGAGTCGTTTCACAGCAACTCTGGCACATGTGTTGCTGAACAGCAACCCGGCATCGGCCCTGCGCAGCCAAGGAACCTCACATTGGCTTTCTGCAGCTCGACTTTCTGCAGGGCACCTCAATTGCCAAAACACAGTTGCTGTTCAGGTAAGTCAGGCCACAACATTGGGCCATGCGTGCACCACTGCTGGACAGCAGTGATTGAGGTGTCATTCCATGTTTTGTCTCAAGGATGAGGGCGCGAGAACTTTAAAAGCCATGACAAAGAAAACACACGCAGGTGGCATCCAGAGCAAGACAGCGCCAAACATCATCAAAGCAGCACAGAACCCAATTAAAAGTACACTACACGCGCACAAAAAAGAGCCGCCATGGGAAGGGGTGGCACCGGAAAGGGCCAGGATGATGAGCAGCGGTGGCACACAGTCTTCCAAAGGTTGGATGAGTTGTCCACTGGCCTAGCAGTCATGATGGAACTGGTGCTGCAGTGGTTTGAAGCAGAACAGTGCCCGCAACCAGCAGCAACCTTGCAGGCGCAAGAGCAGCAGGACCAAAAGCAACCGCAGCCTGCGACACAGCCGCCGCAGCAGTACCAAGAGCCACCGCCGCCACCACCGCCGTCTCCAACACCGGCGCAAATGCGCCAAGAGCCACCGCCAGTGCCGCCTGAAACAAGACCAGCGCAGCCTGAAACAGAATCCGTGCAGCAGCCAACGCGAGACGACATACAACAAACACTGCTGGAACTGCAACGCGAACACGCCCTACGGGCCTACTTCGCGCAGCTGCAGCAGCAGCAGCAGCAGCTGCAGCAACAGCTGCAGCAGCAACAGCTGCAGCAGCAGGTCTACTTTGCTGCAGCCATGGCTCAGCATCAGCAGCAGCAGGAGCAAAATAGGCAGATGACAGTACAAGAGGAGGCGAGACAGCGACAGGAGGAAGAAGCTAAGCTGGCTGAAGAAAAAAGGCAAGAACATGAGAACAAAAAGGAACCAAAGGAGAAAGTACCAAAAGAAGAAGAGCACGCTAAGAAGATGGCTGCTAAGAAGGAGGCAGCGGTGGCGCTAAAAGAGACAGAAAAAATGAAGCAAAAAAAAGGAAACGAGATGAGGACCGCCCGGCTGTTCAGCAGTGTCTGCACAACGGTTGCTGCTGTCCAGAAGCATCAAACAAGTGCTGCTGTCGAGCAGCATCAAACAAACTCTTACTGCTGACCAGCAGTATGAAACAAACTCTTGCTGCTGTCCAGCAGTTTAGGTAAATTCTTACTGCTGTCCAGCAGTATTCAACAAATTCTTACTGCTGTCCAGCAGTTTTGAAGAAACTTTTGCTACTGACCAGCACCTGATGCTTCACATCGTTTACAGTAACCCATTCCACCCAACCAGAACCATCCGTTTCTGCCTGACGCAGGACAAAGCGAAGGATCGATGATGCTGTTGGGACCCGACCGCCCTGGCAAAAAAAGAGGGTGACCATCAGACGCGCCTCGTTTCTTGAGTGCGACTTTGGTATTGTTTCACCTGCTGGTGTTGCATACAGTATGTTAACCCCACCTGCCGCCAAGGAACTTGGAACAAACAAGTGCTGATGTGGAAGCCCCAGCTGCTGGTGAGTGTTTCGCCTTGAGCACGGTTCATGACACTGCTGCCCAGTGAGGCTGCTGTCCAGCAACCTCATCTAAAGTCAACAGCTATGTAAACTCAACCT